CATGAATCAAATATGTATCTTTATTCATTTACAATAAACTCATAAAGTACATCATTCTAATTGAAGCTAAGGGCATACAAAACTGTCTAACAGCTAGGTAGATGGATGGGTGGAAGTAGAGATGGATGAATTATTTAACGACATAGGAGAAGATGGGGAAGTGGATGTGGCTAATTGGGCCTAAAATAGAGATGGATGAGTTATTTAACGACTAGATGGATGGGTGGCCACCGGATGTCTGGTCTTATTATCCAAGGAAAATGATTGGGCCTAAAATAGAGTAAATAAATAATATAGGCTTTTCTTTTGCTCTACTTTGTATATATTATATACCTCTTCTTTTGAACAAGTGCATTTTGACAGAATCAATGTAAAATTCAACTATATCATGTGTGCTCGTCATCCTTGTTCTAGATCCATTTGTGCTTTATGGATTCAAAAATTTCATCAAAGATGAGACTAATTAGGGTCTCTTTGGTTTGTAGTTGGAATCGGAATCGAAATCCTCTTGAATCAGAATTGGAATGGTCCATTCCCATAGTTTATTTGGTTCAGACAGGAATGTGAATGGGAATTAAAATCAGCAGGAATGGAATTTCATTCTCAAGGAAAGAGCAGGAATGACCATTCCCTCAAATGGGAGAATGCCATTCCAGCAAGAATAGGAATGGGATTTCAATTCCCCCCAACCAAATACTTGGAATTGAAATAGCCCCTTCCAATTCCAATTCCAGATCCCTATTCCTACAAACCAAACGGACCCTTAGATTGCAAGCCTAAAATCCATTAAGTTATTGTTGATCAGCTTCACATCATTTTCCTTTTTAATTTTTAAAAACCTCCTCCAAAGTCTTACTTGTTCCAAGCAAAAGTGAATCGTTCGCCGATTCTTGGTCCTTGTCACATTTCAACAAGAATAAGATATGGGTGATTAAAACTATCAATCATTTCATTAAAAGATTCTACAACTTTTAACGAATTTGTTTGAAATGGACAATTGCCAACCAAAATTAGAAAGCATTGTTATAATTCATTATTCTTTTAGTTGTTGCTCATTCTGAAATTCTCTCTTCCAAAATGAGCAATTTGATATAGTTACATATCTTGTAATTGCTAATAAATTTACTTGGGCTGAGTTTGGAAGGAGTACAAATGTAAATATATAGAGTGCAAAACCTTATAATTTATATATATATATATATTTACGCTGTACATATTTGCATTTGTATTGCTTCCAAACTGAGCCTTGGTTTCATTCCTAATCAGCACTTGGTACTCTATGAGTTCAAACTAGGAGAGGGATTGGAGATCATTTTGACATTAGCAGAATTAGAGGATTTTAGGGTACAAACACTGAGTTGTCTGTGGTTATTTTCCTTTTTTTTTTTATTGTCTTCCCATGCCAAAGAATCCAATAAATCGATTAGTTACAACAAAGAACGTTGGTTTTGATTACGGTGTAATAGGAAATTATAGGAAACTTAGCACAACTCAATCTTTGTCGAATTTTTTTTTTTTATTTTTTTTTTCTGAACAAGCAAAAACCATTAAGCACTAGAAGGTAGTAATACAGAGTGAAATATTTTCACCATCCATTAGAGGTTTCAGCACACTTTTAAAACCGGAATGAACCCTTCTGTGTTTTAATAATTGTGAACCAAAATTGAACCAAATCAATCGATTAAACCAATTATTTGGTTTGGTTTTTTAGTATTTTACATTTATAATATACATTAAAAATAAGGGTAAAATGCAAAAATCTCTCCTAAGGTTTCTGACAATAATAAAATTCTCCCCTATATTTTATTGTAACAAATACCTCCCTAAATTTTTGAGAAATTCAACAAAAACCTCCCTTCCACTATTGATCCAAATGGAGAATGTAAACACTTACGAAATTACCCCCGAAGTATCATTTAAAGATATCATAAAATACCATATTTGCCCTCCTTTTTATTGTACAAGACTCTTCCACCGAGCTCCCATTGTTCTTCCTCTGAAACTAGAAGGTATTCGTTTTCGTTACTACAAAAATGGCTTCCTGCTAACTTGCATTTATGGCACTTTTTCTTTTCCCATTTTTTCTTTTTTAGCCTCGTCATCAACCATGCGAGTAACTTCGAAATTTTGGCTTGTCATTTCAGAAATTGATCTCAGATCGCCAATGTCTTAAAATTCCAGACTTTGAAATCGTTGTGAAACTTGAGGCATTTTCATAATTGATTCATGAATCAAAATTTTGAAGGTTACCAAATCTGGAAACCAATTTCTATCTTTGTGGGTCTCTCCATTGTCTCTAAGATGTGTTTGGAAAAACAGAAAATTTGATATTGATAAAACGACATCTGTAATGGCTTGAAACTTGACTATTGTTAGCATTCAGAGCATGGCATCTGTATACCTGGATCTCAAATTTTATTTGCACATGTAAATGTTTAGGGCGGTCCAGTTGCCATTCAAAATTTTTAGAAAAAAATAAAATGACCTAGAAAATGATACGATCCCCGACAAATGGTGCCTCACTTCTCCACCGCATGAACCACAAATGGTGTCTCCCTTTACCTGTGTTATCCTTGCCTGAACCACAAAAATGGTGTCTGACTTATCAACCGGTATAAGTTTCAGCAGTGAAACAAGTAAAGGTGGTTGATTTCACCATAAGAATCAACGGTGAAAGGATCACCGACAAAGAGTAGAAAGATGCTCCTATCTACCTTAGTCAATGGACTGGGGTTTCAAAGGTTGGAAGATTGAAAGAGTTGATGTTCTTTTGGGGTTTCTCTTTTCTGATGGATTTCGAACAGGACTCTTCTCTTAGAATCGGTGAAGTTTCCGAACAAGGTTCTCTGTTTTGGCGTCCATGGAGTTTAGGGAGAATTTGAAGGGAGAGGATAAAAATGTAAAGGAGGTGTTTGTTGAGTTTAAAATGGGGTTATGTAAGTAACTTTTTATGTAAAATAATTTATAAAAGGGTAAAATTGGTATTTAATAAATTCGGTGCATCAATTTAATGTTTTCTGTTTGGATTAGTGATGGAAGAGAGATTTTTGTCCAATTTCTCAAAAGTTTAGGAGAGATATTTGTTATAATAAAACTATAAGAGAGGTTTTTATTATTGTCAGAAACTTAAGGGGGAGGTTTTTGCATTTTACCCTAAAAATAAATACATCATAGGTATGTATTATAAAAAAATATAAATAAATAAGCATATGCATACTGGTCAGTAGAACTAACCACTATTTTTCTCCTAGGTCAATCGGAAGCTCTTCATGTTTTACCCACCATTCCCAGCATAGGTAGTTGAAGTATTGGCCAAAGGGTAGAATGAAGGGATTTCGAGTGGGAGGGCCTTGAGGAACGGAATAAAATTCTAAATAGAATATGCAGATTATCACAAAAACTACATTATATTGCCGAATAAAAATTTGTCTAATATAGAGAATAGAGAAAAGGAAACGTTAGCCAGTCCAGTTTTCCAACAATATATAACCCAGTCCAGAGGTTCGCTGAATCAAAGTGACATTTCTAGTAGGCCATCAAATCTGAAACCGCTAATTTACATTAGTAGAAAGATCATATAGTTTACCTTTGACAAACAAACCTATATCCGAACAAAGTAAAACCACATCATAAAGGGAATCAGATGTGACCACTGACCATTAAAAAAAAGATAAGATCTCACTAAACCTCCCATCAATGGAAGAATACATGAATGTGTCAATAGACTCAGAACAACAACAATGATTGGACAACCCAAGAGATGTTCAGAACTGGTTACAAAAATAGATGGTGAATGGTGATGTACATGAACCAACTGTACTTCCAAAGAATACTAGTTTCTTTTTTCAAGTATTCACTACTAAAAGTGGATTTTACCTAAAAATTTACTAAAATGGAAAGTCTTAGATTGAAGCAATATGGTCCTCTGTATATTCAAATGACCTTAAAAGGATGAGTGAATCATGAGAATTAAGTTAGCTAAGATGAGAAAAGAAAGGCAAAACTCGGAAGACAATTGAAAGTTGAAAGTTGAAACCAATCTGTAATTTAGTATCCGTGGAAGAAAGGGAAAAAAGAATGACATAAATGCATGTAGATTTTGTTGACTTAACAGTAAACAATCAGCAGGTATAATTATATCTAATCAACTCAAAGGGAAATTACAACATCTTTCCCGCCTAAGTTCCTAGAAAAATTCAAAATCAAGGTATGGACCTGATGAGCTATCTGAATCAGTAGCTCTAGCCCCCCTCTCATTTGGAGGCAGTGACGATCTGATTGTGTGATTAACAAAAGTCAAATCAACAGGTTTAGGAATATCTGGAGGGTGAGTACTACGAATTAGAGCCCAATTAACATTCTCAAAGAAAGGGTGCTGTTTGATCTCTGTGGCACCCCTTTTGTATCCTAATCTTTGTTGTGGATCCTTTACAAGCAAATCCTTGATCAAATCCTTAGCAGCAGAACTGATATTAGAACCATCTGGGAACTTCAGTTGCTGTCCAACAACATTGAACAATGTCTCACGGTTACCATTCCCCCTGAATGGTGTCTTCCCATGAAGCAACTCGTACAGGAAAATACCAAATGTCCACCAGTCCACAGCACTCCCATGACCATCCCCTTTAATGATTTCAGGAGCTAAATATTCATGGGTCCCCACAAAAGACATTGATCGGGCAGTGGTTGGCTCTGCGATGAGTACAGGAAGTGAATCCATACGGGTCAAGCTTATACACTCATTCCTCCATTTCCTTGCCTTTGTTGCCTTCGGATTGAAAATTCGAGGTCTGAAGCACGATGGTTGTAGACAAGAAGGCTGCACACAAACTGATAATTTGCATGTTGGATCAGTGCATGGTGGTTGGATACAGGAAGAGACCCTACGAGATGATTCCATACTGGACTTTATCAGGGTAGGGCTCACATAACACTTGAGAGATAAATCAAAATCAGAAAGCATGATATGGCCATCCTCCCTCACCAAAACATTTTCAGGCTTCAAGTCCCTATAAACCACTCCCATCATGTGTAGATATTCAAGGGCAAGAAGCAATTCTGAAGCATAAAACCTGCAAACAATAGAAAATAATCATAAAACTAATAATAACTTCAACCATCAAGAAGGTTGCAAAAGTGAGTCCACAATTCGGAAGATATCTCTCCATCTCAATGTTTTATAGACCAGATTGGCATTAACCAGTCAATTTGACCCAAATAAGGCTCAAGGTTGAAGAATTGTTTTAGCCATAGATTGCAAAATATCCATTCTGAATCAAATTAATATTGTCATACAAACATCTTATGACTATGTAATTCTCACAAAGAGAAACATGACAAATAGAAGGGGGGAGATGACTTAGTTTCAACCATTTCACTAAGATTTTGAGATAACATCACTTGTTTACTATTCATGCTAGCTTGATCAATAGACAACCATAGATCCTTGCAGGTTGTGTCCCCCCTGATAACCCATATTGTATTATCATTTCTAGTTCAATGGCCTGTCGTCTTACTAATAAACGCAGGAAATTAATTTGATTGCACATGAATAAAAAAACATAACATAGAAGATGAAGATCTGAAGATGCAGGACTAACCGTGCTGCTTGCTCAGAGAAATGTTTGCCCGGCTGCCGCTGCCGGAGCGTGTGAAGATCCCCTCCACTGCAAAACTCCATTAACAAGCAAGAAAACTTCTCCGTCTCAAAGTGCGAATACAGAGTAGGAAGAAACGGGTGATCTAACGAACCTAAAATCTCCCTCTCAGTCTGAGCCCTTGCTAACTTCTTCCTTCCCGCCAACATCGCTTTATCCATCACCTTCATAGCGAACAAACAACCCATCCCTCTAAGTTCCGCCAAATATACACTACCAATATCCCCACACCCAAGCTTCTTCAAAAGCCTGAAATGACCCAATCCCAAAACCCCATCCTTACCCTTTACACACTGAATGGCGTCCCATCGAAGATCGTTTCCCTTATGAGGCTTGTTCGGACAAAAGCTTCTACAACTGTTCTCATTGCCGTCGATGCTGCTGCAGTAGCTCGCTGAGCTCAAGCTGCTCGTCTCACTTTCTGGGCATTCTACAGATTCCCCACTTTTGGTAGTCTCTGCTGCGCTGCACTCGATCTGCTTTCCATCAAGACAACCATTTAAGATCTCACTATTTGTACAGCTAGTCGACCCACCAGTAGTTGTACTACTGTTTATACTATTACTGTTCTCTAAGCTCAAGCTGCTCGTCTCACTTTCTGGGCATTCTAAAAACTCCCCATTTTTGGTAGTCTCTGCTGCGCTGCACTCGATTTGCTTTCCGTCAAAACAACCATTTACGATCTCGCTATTTGTACAGCTAGTCGACCCGCCAGTAGTGGTGCTACTGTTTATACTATTACTACTCTCTAAGCTAAGATCATCTGAACTTCCGCTGAGTGTTGTCGGAAGGCAACTAGATTCTCCATCGCCAGCCTCACCACCACCACCTCCATTATCGACCATGTCTCCTTTCTGAAAGAAAATATTAGCCACTCAAATGTTCGACAAAAGTTCAGAACGAAAAGCTTAAGCTTTGTTAAAAAGGAGTTAAAGAAGAAGAAGAAGGGGGGTTGGGGCGAGAGAGCGGTCAAAGGGGCGTCGCCGAGGCGGTCAAAGAGAACGAGAGAGGCGCGGGCGCACACTCGACTGAGCATGGGGAACTCAAAAAAGGCCAAAAAACGGTGTTCAAATTTCAAAATGAGAGGGAGAGGTGAGAGACCCAAGGCCTGAGTCGGGGTTCCGGTCATCTCTTACGCTATCCCAGAAATATGGCAGCCTAGAGACAAACGCAGAGCCACAGAGTCTCGGGAGTTACGAGCACGACTCAGGGACTCTCTCTCTCTCTCTCTCTCTCTCTCTCTCTCTCTCTCTATGAGGTTCTAAAACAATAGGGGTGATGATTCGGAGAATGTATTTACGCTGATTAAACGGTGTGAACTCTACCGTGTCAATTCATCATTCGTCCAGAATTTAAAAAGCAAATGGCTTTTTAAAGGCGCCTAATTTTTTTTCAACATGTGATGGCACGTTAGGACCACACGGTGTACAGGGTCACACACGATCATTTCCCATAAAACAAATCAACTAACAGACAAAGATTAGCGACTAGCGAGTGCCCCCACCCATCGATATTCGATACCGTTAATTTGGTTAATAACTAGAAAAACCTAAAACCTATATAGATAATGCACCTCATAGTTATAGTACTGCAAACGGATCGGGTCGGATCGAATCGGATATAAAGCGAATCCGAATTTGATAATTCGTATTCTAAGTCGGATATCGAATGGCATTAATAACTTAAACTAAAAATAATCAAAATATATTTGAATATATATATATATATATACACACGCAGGTTTGAACTTTCAAATCATCTCCTGTCAACCCATGCTTGGAATACCAAACGTTTTGGCCTTCCACCCCAAAAAACCTTTCTCAAAAGTTTTGGCCTTTCTCTCACCCAAAAAACCTTACTCATGACAGCAACTTTTTTACTCTAGACACCTCTCCCCCAGCTATTGAAACTTCCAAAACATCTCACATTTCTTAGTACTGTGGAATATAATAGCAATTTTCAGGAAATTATTCGTATTCAATCCAGCTATCGAATCAGATATCATTGATCGGATAGAGATGAATTCATATTCAATCCAATTATAAATTGATTAAATCCGGATCACTTTGGACATGATTAAATTTGAATTTAAATCAATTATAACAAAAATTTTGAATTTAAATTTGGATAAATGATACCATTTGCAGCTCTAGAACCTCACCGGTCTATCACAATGTTTTAAAAACCAACCTGGAACTAGAACTGTTCTGGCCACTGGTTTCCGAGTCGACGGTTCAATCATCCGGTTTGAATGGAAGGCTTGTTCTGACAAATCAAAAATTAAAAAATAATTAAAATAAAAAAGACTAAAATCGTTAAACAGATCGACAACCCAGGTCAATAAGTCATTGACCAATGCAACGGTTTTTTGCCAAAGATCAAGTTTGGAGTAAAACAAAACCAGCCTAAACGATTCCAAGGCTGAATGGTCCAACCATCCAGGTTAAGGACAGTTTGAAAACATTGGTATATTATACATAAACAACCCGATGCGAATCACAATTTCAAGGAAATACTGTTGGCGGCCTGAGAGAGAGAGAGAGAGAGTTATTAGACCAGTAAGGGATACATTTATATGTTTGTTGTTTGTTTGGGCAAAAGCCAAAAAAGAGAGTAATCAGATATTATATTCTCTATTTGTTTGAAAGATAAAGATAGCGGGTAGGAGGATTGAAGAACATGCTCATCCTCCACATGATACCGTGGGCTTATGGATGACTCAACAGAGACCGGACGTGAGGCGTTCTCCTTGAGGGGGGACAATGGACAAGCCAGACCAGACTGATGATTAGAAAGGTTGGACAGCCCAACCACAGACCACAGACCACAGAACAGTCTCCCCTGCACGAGACAAAGAAAAAGTGGATCCACAAAGATTTGGATCTGAAACGGACCTCCTCAATTCAAAATCAAATGGTTTCGTTTGCTTCGGGATTGCGTTGCCTCTCTTCTCAGGTGTTTGTTTGAACTTTGAACCAAGAAAAGGCAAATGGTGCTCGGAGTCGGAAACGCGCATGTAACAACTTCGACTCCTCGTGCCCGACCCTGTCCCTGGTCCCTTTTTTTCTATATTTCCTTTGACTCCTCAACTTCGACTGTTTATTTGGATTCCATTTGGTGTCTTTCCATTCTATTCTTTTTGCCATCCAATTGTCGACATTGAGTTTTTTTTTGTTAGCCTTTGAGCCTCCAAGAATGAAGAATCTGACCAAGCCATCCACACTGAAGTGACAACTCCATGCTAAGGCTAAGCAAGGGAGTGGTGTTGAGGAAGAAACTTGAGGTAAAGGTAAAATGACTACTAAAAGGAATCAAGTTGGATTGAATACTCACGCTGATCTTTTAATGCCAATTGGTCTCTTGGACAAGAAAGAAGACATGACTTTGAATTGGAGCAGAGACATGCGAGAATAGATGACCATGTTATGTACGCAAGTATTCGCCTGCAAATCGACTTTTTATTAGATTCCTGTTGGCAATAGACTCCAAAAGGGACAAGCAAGCTTCTTTCGTTCATTCTCTTTTCGTTTTTTGCTCTGGAGGGTAGTGGAGGAAAGAGAAAAGGGCGCCCCATGGGGGAGACATCGTCACAAAGCAAAAAAAGGGAGGGTGAGTTTGAAAAGAAAAAAAAAAAAAGCAAAAGATGAGAGTGAGAGAGAGAGAACAGAGATTCCAAGAACAAGGTAAGGTAGAAACCAGTACAAAACGTCCTCGTATCAGTTATGGCTGTAAAATTTAGCAACAAAGAACATAACAAAGTAGAAGCGGCCAAAAGGTTAGGTGTACGAAAGCCTACTTTTCCAGCATAGGCTGAGGCTCATATATATGCTTAAATTTACCATTTCATTACCCAGAAAGAGCTGCCTTTGGTACAGTACAGATATGGGAATTAGGGAACAATGCCCGCCTTTAAGCAAGCCAATTAGCCAAATGGATGAAATGACCCACAGAGACTAGCTCAATTACTTGCTGCTGGGAAATGATTCCCAGCCAAAGTGTTGTTTGTCTATTTCCCTTTGTGAGTAATGATTCCCGCGACGTGGAATCACCCTTCGTCTACAACTTCATTGGATCGTCGCGCTCAATCCTCAGAAACAGCTAGTTTGTCCCTTAGATCTTCGGCTCCTGAATCAATGATAATGAAGAGAGTCAGCTCGTTTAGTGAGCTTCCTTCAGGCTTCAAACAACAAAGGAATCTTGCACTGAGCTCTTTGTCATTCATGGAAAAAATTTCGGTCCAAAACACATTACCATATGCGCCAAAATAAGCCCACTTTTAGAATAAAGGTTAAAAATTTGAATGGCTAATGGCTAATATTAGTTGTCAAAGGCACCAGAACAAGGTAGGCATATGGCAGATATTTTACTGTGGGATTGAACATCTGGCCAACCCAATGGGTCCCCAACCTGATGGAACGTCTGTATTGGTGGCCACTAGGGGTTTGGCATCATTCCTACCTATTTCTGTTTTTTGAGGAAATTCCTGTTCCGGAACAGGTATTCTATTTCTTGTTCTTGAGGAATAATTGACTTGTTTGGCAAATTCTTCCTGAGGAACGTATTTCTGTTCTATAAAAACATTGTTTGAATAGCCCTATTAATTCTTAAGATTAATTATAACGCCTAGAATGAAAATGATAGAAGGAAAAAATAGTGCAATACACAGAAGAACAAAAAAAAAATCTAATGTCTAGCATAAACACATCATTAAAAAAACCAGGCAATAGAAGAAAAATCAAGGTAACAGCACTTACCTGGATGGTTCTTGTTGCCAGATATACAAGTAGATCGCTTTACTAGGTTTCTGATGCCTTCTCCATGCGTCAGTAGAAGAACCAGTGAAAAAAAAAATTGAGATTGGATACGATAAAGTACAACATAGAAAAAAAAAAAAATCAAACATTTTTGGGAGGAAGATGGGTGTTACCTGGGAATCTCGTCGCAGGAGAAGAAAGAGCTGAGAGGGTGTTGTGGTGAGACACTGAGACGTTTGCCAATGGATCAAGAAGGCAGAAGAGGAATTAGGGCTTTAGAAGGCCAAATGTCTATTTTATGGAAAAATCACCATAATATCCCTGTTAACACTTGAGCAAGTAGCCACACGTGTTCATTCAGGGAAATTCCCTACTTGACCCGTCTGGTGAACCATGTTCAAAATGGCATAGTAATTTTTACTAGAAAACACTGATAAAACCTTTGTTGCTAATGGAAAGTATTCTGTAGGGTCATTGATGGAAGTGATCATTACCATCACCAGAGTTACGCTTCATCCCACTGTGGTGCATCAACCAATTATCAGGTGTTCCTTGTGTCTGAAAGAGAGAGATTAGGCTGCAGGAATCAAAGCATAGACCATGCTGGTAATGAACCGTCACTGCCACAGGAATAGAAAATCAGACCTCAAATTTTACTGGAGCAGAGCCACAAATGATGTTGCCTTCTATTTATCCAAGGCATAGACATTACCATCTGAATTAAGCTTTTATCCCACTGTAGAACCAATTATCAGGTGTTCCTTATGTCAGGAAGGGAAAGATAGGGCTGCAGGAATCCAAGCATAGACCACTAAGCCAGTAATGAGCCAGCACTGCCACAAACATACAGAATCACACTTTAAATTTGACTGGAACAGAGCCTGTAGTGATGCTACCTTCCATTTACCCAAGGCATACAGAATCACACTTTAAATTGCCATCTGAAGGAGCACCATCCTGCATAAGCAACACACAGATGAGTAAATAGAAGAGTTCAAATTCATGAAACTTGACTTTTTATGAAGTTATGAACCAAGTAGTTTATGGAATTCTGAATTAAAGATTTACATGGTTAAGGCAGTAGACCAACAGCAGCACAAATTTTAGAAAATTTCCTACCAGAGTATAAGGAGATAAAAGGAGTAGAAGAATCTGATCGGATCTATCTTGATATAATTGATCAGTGACATGCCCTTCAAGTTACCCAACACTTGTGGAGAAGTTTTTGGTCAATTTATATTGAATCAATCAGCTGAAAGTAGATATGAATTTGCATTTGCTTGTAGACCATCATAGAATAATTTGTAGGTGGAACATTATTTTTGGTCTCCAAGCTTCCTTTACTCTCAAGTTGACATTGATTAGAAGCCTCCAATTTTGAAACATATGCATTAAACAGGATTTATGATTCATGCTACCTCTCTAGGTCCAAGTTCCAGAACTACAGAAGTAGGGGAGCAAGTCAGGCTGGGTTAAGTCGATTTGAGGTCAACCCTAGCCCAACTCGAAGTTTTGAACCCCAACCCAACTTTAAACCCAACCTAGTCAACCAGAACCCTAAGTCCTAACCCAGCCTACTCAACCCTAACCCTTAAACTATTATGATCATAGACTGACCATATTTTTTTATTGGTATTTGTTTGTCTGATGTTGTAATTGGTTTTGTAGTATAAAAGTGAAAAAATGAATGTTTCAAATAATTAGGGTCTATTATGAATTATAATAGATATTCCATTGAAAATCTAAAACAATGAAATTAGTAATAATAAAACATACACTTATTGAATGAAAATCACTAATGACAACTTGTCATTAGAGTTAAGGGCATAAGAATTAAGATAATTTCATAAATTGTATGCAACGGAACTATAATACATATGTACAATAACAATAATAGAGCTCGGTCCAGGTTGGTTTAGGGTTGACCCCTTGGGCGACAAGACCCAACCTGAAATGAAGTTGGGTCGGCAAATTTCAATCCTAACCCCAACCCAATCCAACCTTCTCGGGTTGGTTCAATGTTTTAAGAGCACAAGGCACAAAAAAAATGCAAAGGGCATTTTGTGCCCGAGGTGCAAGACAAAGCATGTGCCTTTTTTAAGCAAGGTGCAAAATTAAAAAAAAGAAGAAGAAAAAAATGCAAAAAAAGAAAATAAATCAAAATAAATTAGGAAAATATTAAAAATGGTATTAATCAAAAAATTCAAGGATTAATTTTAAACTAAATGTTTTAAAAAGCCTATTAGCTCAAATTCAAATACATAAACATAAAATATAAAACATATCCAATGTGAAAATTGCAAAAATAAAATAAAAACTAGCATACAAAACATATTCAAGCATGTCAAACCTTTAATTTCTTCATTTATTTCTCAACTGCATTATTTCATATAGTTAATGTGATGTTACACTTTTCATTCCCAATTCTACAAGTCGCCTTTGCACCATACCCCTTGAGGCAAGCCCAAACAAGTCCGTGTTAGGGCCTTAAAATTCTTAATCCCTAAAAAATAATTTTATAATTTTAATTATCTTTTAAAAATATCTTATATTAGATGAATGAATGAACAACATTGGAAAATAGGGAGTTCTTGGAGCTTAAAAACCACCAAAAAGTGTAAAAAGTAAAATAGGTGCACACCTGGGTTGAGGCGGGCGCAAGGTGCACAAAGTGCGCTCCTTTTGAAAGTGGTGCACTTGGGACCTAGGCGCGGCCTGTGTGCCTAGGTACACCTTTTAAATCACTAGTTGGGTTAGTTGCAGCCCTATACGGAAGTTCTTTGCAAGTGAAATATAAGCCAAAAAAAAAACTCTACATAATTTTAGTGTCTCGAGGAAGTAGGGGGAAAAAAGGAAGCAAGACATTTCTGACACACATTACACTCATCTTCATTTGTCTTTTAATTCTACCCCAATCATTGGCTGGGTGGACTAAGGGACTAAACTTCATGAGCAGGCAGAGGTGTAAATCGGGCCATGCTGGGCCGGCACGGCACGTCATGGCCCGCCGTCAAGTCAGGTTGTGCTTCCCTCCCCCGGGATAAGTCGGGGGTCGGCCCAACACAACCCAGGGCCCAAGCCCATGTGGACCCATGTCGTGTCAAGCCGTAGGCCTGGGCCAAGTGGGCTACAAGCCATGCTGTGGACCTAAGTCGTGTCGGACTAGGCTACGAGCCAGGCTGGGTCTAGGTTGAACTGGGCTAGAAAGGCCTAGATTTTTTTTTTTTTTGCCAACTTTCCTTTGGGCTTTGCCCGCTTTGGGAACAAATTGAAAAAATAAAAAATCTAACAAAGAAATGAAAAAAAAGTATTAACCAAAATACAAAATGGACAACAAATTGAAAAAAATAGGAATTTTATTTCATTTGAAATATAAAAAAATTACAAATTGAAAATAAAAAGTTACATTGTTGAAAAGATAACAAATAATTTAAATAAAATTGAAAAAAATAACTCCATATCCTTGATGTTAATCATCTGCTTCATCAAGTGTAGTAGTGTCATGCCCTTCTTTGTCTTGCAATTTATCCTCAGCATCCAACAAATCTTTAAAGTAGATGTCTTTTTCTTGTTTCTCATGGAAGAGCAAATGTTTGGCCAAGTAGCCAGTACCACCCTTGATACTGAAGCTAAAGTCAATCTTACATTTTTGGCAAACGACTATTTTCCCCTTCCCCTCAACCTCCTCTATTTTAAATATTTTCCAAATCAGGCTAGTGAACTTACCATTGGGGAATTGGTTTCGGGAGGAGGAGCCGACCATTATTTTTAATTCTAAAAAAATAAAAATCAATTTAATTGCACTTACCAGGATGGTCAAATTACCAATTCAGAATCTCAACTTGATTTCAACAGTTGAAGCCTCTCAAAGCCTCCTAAATGGCTAAATTGCGAAGTGCCTAACTACCTAAGTGTATGACAGCATGAAATTGTATGAGAATTGAGATGAGAGACTAAGAGAGTACAAGAATTGAGAAGAGAATTGCTGAATTGGTATGATGAGAATGGTGGACTGGTGTGGAGGATAGGGTTATTTATAGGAATTGAAAATAATTCAATTGCCCAAAATACCCTAAAAACTAGTCGTTTTTTAGTTGTTGGGAGGGGTATTTGATCATTATAAAGTCATTTATCACTACCTAGATACCCCCCCTAAACTAGTTGTTATATAGTTGTTAGGGGGCATTATTGTCATTTTATCTCCCCAGGCCCCCAAAGCCAAAATATATAAATACCCCCCTATAAAGTTGTTTATAGTTGTTGGGGCTATTTCTGTAAAAACACCCCCCAAAAAAAGTTGAAACTAGTCATTGGGGGTCTCTCCAAGACTCCAACCGTCCAATAGCTAGTTCCTCGGGCAGACCACGCTCAGCCCACTACAGGTCGGGCCAGGCCAGGCCATGCTAGCTCGTGTGCATGGCCAGGCCACGAGCGGCACAACCCACATTGTCATGTCGTGCTGACCCGGCCCGTGGGCCTGAAACCCCAAGCCCAACACAGCCCATACAATTGTGTTGTGCCCCAACACAGCCCGTGAACCATCATGCTGAGCCGGGCCGGGCCGACTCAGAATCATGTCGGGCCACGGGCAGCACGACCCGATTTACACCTCTAAGCAGGCAGACCATAACATGCCATTCTATTCCATCAAAAGTCCATTCTTTGGCAAGGCATCTTCCCCTGGGATGACTCTCTTAATACATGGTACACCTAACCACTTCAAAGTTGATTCATCTCATGTACCATTGCTTTCTTTTTCAATTTAATATAATCATAATTACATTCAAAAGAAAACAATTTGCTAAAAAGAAGTTACAGGAAACTAAATTTGACAAAGAGAAGAGATACCTGGCCTTTATCTTCAACTTCACAAGATTGTACTACCCCTTGGATTCAGCTTGGGAGTTAAAACAAAGAACTTCAATCTTGGTAACTTCTTGTCATTGATAAGCAACTCATCATGCACTATAAATTTGTGTTTCAGTTAGAAGGCTGCATTTTCTTATACATGCAAATACCATCCCCGCTTCCTCCATAATACCATGCTTGCACATGGCGGAGATGATTGCATAATGCATAGCATCATTCTGTACATAACCTGTTTCATCAGTAATGTTGTTCAGCCTTCTAAAACAATAGAGGATACAGCAAATCAATTTCAGGAGAGATTTGAACATCCTGAAGCAAGTAGAACATATGAAAGAGGAAGTAAAATTTGCTGCACCCAGATTTGGACATTTACATTTTTTATTTTGATAAATGAGTAAGATTTTATTAATCCAGCAAATAAGAGTTACAGGCAGCCCAGGGAAAGGCACGAGATGCGACCTTTCCTTTAAAATCGGTTACAAAATTATAAGTTCAAATGAAATTACAAAGAAGCCCAAAATAAAGTAGCCCGATAAACCTGCCGTTTTGCAAGCGAGTCAGCCATTGAGTTTGCTGATCTGCCTACCCACTGAACTCTAATTGTCATATTCCTTGTTAGCTATTTAACCTTTCTGAGGAGATCTCTATAGCCCCAGATCAAAGAATCTGGTTCCTGCAACCAACCCACTATCACTTGGCAGTCTCCTTCAATAAGCAGATGCTCTATTCCTAGCTGGTTTGCAAGCTGGATTCCTTGTACAGCAGCAAGTAATTCAGCCCTTAAAGAATCTCCCACACCTGCAGGACCTAAATGCAAAGATATAATACTACTATCTTTATTTCTCAGTACTCCTATACCCGAAGTTCCAGGGTTACCTCAGCTACTCCCATCAAAGTTCAGCTTAATAAACTCCTCCCCAAGTGGCATCCATTCTACAATTTTTAAATTCATGATTACTATTTTTGTGTGTGTTTTAAAATGAGATGTCATTTTTCTTTAGTGAGTTTCCTATTTTTTAGACAACCTGTAATTAGTTGTTTCCTATTTTGTTTAATAAACTATTAGTTCGAGTCAAGTATTATTTTGTTGAGTTTTATGTTCTCAATTTCTGATTTTTGGGTTTCTATTTTCTAGTTTCTTTTCATCTGGGTTTCTAACTTTTTTTAGTTTCTATTTTCTGAGTTTCTTCTGGGTTTTTAACTTTTGATGAGAAATAAAAGTATTTCATTATTCTTCTCTCTAGCTTTGATCTTTAAAAGGTAACCCAAGACTGAACAGTGTTTGGAGACTAAACAAAATACAAGGGCAGCCCAGCGCACAAGGATCCTACCAATGCAGGGCTGGGGAGGGATAGATGTACGCAGCATTACTCCTGCACATACAGAGAGGCTGTTTCCAAGGTTTGGAGACTAAACAAAATGATGATTTAAAGAAAAAAAAAGTGAAGTAGCATCACCTTAATTACAGGCATGTGATCTTCCATTCCAACATCTTAAAGAAGGTTGATTATTGATGTTATGAAGTTCGAAATTTGATTTGCATTTACCTTCAACTAAGAAAGATTCTATAACCCTTTTGATTTCAACTTTTACTCCAAATAACAGATTTCAGCATAAAAAAGGTTGATGCTATGAAGTATTTACCTTCAACTCAGCAAGATTCTACAACCTTTTGATTTCAACTTTGACTCCAAACCGAAAAACTTCAATCCTGACAGCACCAACCCTGCTGTCTTCTTTTTCATGTGATCAATAAGGAACTCATCATAAACTATCATATTTGCTTCTGTTAGAAGGCTGCGATCCTTCATACTTGAAAACACCTTCCTTGCTTCCTCCAATGTCCCATGTTTGCACATGCCAGAAATAATAGCAGAATATATGACATCATCCAGTGGACATGCCTCTTGTATCATCTCATCTATTACTTCAATCACCTTCTGAGCATCACCTGACTTGCAAGCATGAAGAATGGTAAGAGAGTACTTAAATTCCATTGGCCCACTGACCACATTGCCTAAGCAGTCACGAACTAACATAAGAGCTGCATCAATCTCTCCAATCCTGCTGAGCCCTTTGACAAGAGAACGATAGGCAGAAATAGTGGGAACCCAAGACATCTCTTTTATCCCATTATAACACAGACACGCTTCTTTGATATTCCCAATATCCACAAAACATGGAATTGCATTACTGTATGTAAATAAATCAGGTTTAAAATCTGAATCATTCATCTCATTAAAGAGGGACAATGCTCCTTTTACCTCACCAATTTTGTAGAGGGATCCTATGAGGATATTGTAAATTGAAACACTACAATATCCATTTGCTTTCAAGTGCTCAAACACTTCCAAAGCTTTCATTTCCCTATCCCCCTTTGCAATCATGAATGAGAAAAACTTGGAGAGATCATCACTGACAGGAACTCCCAACATTTGCATCTGTTCAAGTAATCTGTAGAAATCATCCATTCTGCTCTGCTCCGCATATGATGCCAAAATGGGATTTATGGTGGTAAAGTCAGGACCAAGACCCTCCTGAACTGTGATTTGGAAAAGTTTAAAAGCCTTATTGACTTGGTTTGCATTACAAAGACCTTCAATCAGAGAATTGTATATTGACAGATCAGCCCTGTACCCAGACTGAATTAGATCCTTGAGCAGATCACAAGCTGATCCAACCTTACCATCCACAACAAATGCTTCAATTAAGGCACCATAAACAGCTCTGTCTATCAAATACCCCTTCCCTCTCATCTCCTTAAAGAGATCATAGCCTTTATCAACAGCATTTCCCTTGCACAAAGCCACAACCAAAGTAGTATAAGCCATAGCATCGGGCTCAACACCATCCTTTTGCATTTCCTCCCAAATCCTCAAACATGCATCCAAATTTTTCTCCGAAACCAACACCCTAATCATCGCTGTGTATGCAAAAACGTCCGGCTTGCACAAATTCGCCTTCATTCGATTCAAAAGCTCCAAAGCTTCATTGATCCTTCCAGATTTACACAAGCCTTTGATGATAACCATGAATGTAACACTATCTTCCACTAACCCATCCTCTTTAAAGTCCTCGTAGACAGACAGTGCCAAATCCAAGTGGTTCGTTTTGACAAGGGCATCCATGATCCTATTGTAAAGGAAAACTCTAGGTTTCACCCCAAATTTCTTCATCTTTTCATAGACAAAGTAAACCCGAAGGCCTCGACCAGCATCAGAATGCATTCTAATTAAAATTTCAAATTGCTTCTCAGTGGGTTGCTTCCCTTGCATGTTCATGAGCTCGGGAACCTGATCGGCTGCTCGAAATTGGTTCGTGCGATTCAAGCAATAAGCAAATGCATTATAAGAAGAGAAATTGTGTCGATAACCCTTCTGCTTACCTGCCCAATGGAAGAACTTGGACGAGATCTTTGGATCAGTCTGGACCTTGAGAACTTCGGCAACGAGATTCGGTGTGACTCGGCGGAGCTTATTGAGGTCGGCAATGACCGCAGGGCCCCAGTTTTTGTACTTGCGGAAGGAATCACATATGTATCGAGCAATCGGAGAGAGGGTTCGAGCGACTGAAAAGAAATTCTCGGGTGAAGGTTTTATTGGTGAAGATGTAAGGGTTTGTGGGGAATTGGGATCCCACTTTTGCAGATCGAAAGTGGTGGAAGAGGTAGAGCTGGGTTGACGTTTAGAGTTTAGGGTTTCGAATTGATTGGGGTTTAGGGTTTTGCGGTTGGAGAAGAGGCCACCACGAACGGTGGGCCGGTTCTGAGAAGGTTTGCGGTAACCATAGAAGAAGTAGAGTTTGTTGGTGTTGGTATTGGGGGTGGGAAGTCGGGACTGAGGAGACATTTTGGGATTTACTTACTGTGACGATTCCTCTTAACTTTCATCACTTGTTTTCACGTCTCAGTTCTTGGTTCCCGCCCTCGCTCTGCAACGAGCTTACGAGAGTCCAGATGACACCGAAAGCGGCATTCTAGCAATTCTAGTAAAAACTAGCTTGCTGCAACTCTTAGATGCTTCGCCCTATAGACATAAGTGGGACCCCCTGAATTTTCAGATTACGTGCCTGCCCGAGTTCACATCTACGCCCTCTCTCCACATGCACATTCCCAATACACGGTTGGAACGTGTAGTAAAGCGTCCGTGGGGGCGCAGATGTGATCTCGCCCTACCCAATGTGTTCAAGTAAATATTTGATATCACATTTGCGTCCTACGCAGCACGCCTCACAGGCGCCCCACAGCCACATGCACATCGCAGCGTGCACAGATGTGCTGTGTGGCGCGCCCCATGTGAACTCTAAATATGTGGATTTGACTTTCCAAAAATAGCATTGACAAGTTTTTTTAATTTTATTTATTTTAAATGATTAAATATGTGCGCAATATATTAAATATATGCATATATGTATATGTCGAATATATATTTAAAATTTTAGAATATGCATAAATAAACTTTTTTCCATATTTTTATCCTTGCTTTTAAAATCTGTTTTGTTCATCAATTTGACACTCAGAAACACCCCTTGCATTTATGTGAGTATGTGTTTACAAAGACAGCCTCTTCTGCATTAATTTGTTTGGTTGCATGTAAAATGCAGGGAAAAATATATTTTTCTCTTTTTTGAAAAGCCCAAAGGCAATTCATCTCACATTTTGTTGAGTGTAAAATAACCGTACATGATGGCATCTCTCCAAAGGGGTTATTTGCCAATGTATATGATTTTAGTTAAAAAAAAAAAAACAACAGTCACATCGGCCAGTTGTTTTTTATTTTTCAAAAGCAAAATCAATCATGTTGCCAAACACCATCTAAAGCTGAATTTGTTTGTGGTGAAATACGGATTGGTGTTATTAATCATTTCAATCCGGTTTTTATCGGCGTTTAGATGGAATGTAATTAAACATCAAAAATCGTTGCAAAACTTCACTCATGTCGAGTTTTACATCGATGTAAATACAACGTTGATAAAAAACGATGTAAATATTTACATTGGTAATCTCCCATTTTCCATTTACAACAGTCCAAAAATTTAAACCGATCGGTGAACATCTCCATTAATGTAATTTTATTTTTACACTCCATTAAAAGCAGCCTAAATAACAATCTAGGAAGTCAGTATTCCTTCCCATTTTTATCTGCTACTTTCCAAACATAGGTTAATTTCATGTATTGCAGTAGACATTGTTTCTCAACCATTCAGGTTTCTTTCTTCAACTTTACCAGAACATTGGGAAAATTAGGAGATATGAAACGTGTTTTTGATTGAAGCTTTGTTTGGTTACTTATAAAATGAAGGGAAATCAGCAATTCCCATGAAAACTGTTATTTATGGTTTTTGATTGCATGTAAAGTAGTGGCTATGAAAATTTAACATTTCCCAAAAAGTAAAGTGTTATTATTTCTGATTATTTGTAAGCCATTTTCTTTTCTGAATAGTGGTTTATTCTCTTGATTCATGTCTTGCAACATGCATACTTTCTCAACCTGTCAAACCATTCGAGTTTATTTTTTCAAGTTAAAGTTAAACAAATTATCTGGAAAAATATGGATTGTAATTATTTTTCCTATTAATTGTTCGATGTAGTCGTTCAATTTTCTTTCATTTTAAATGCAACCAAATGTGGAAGTCATTTTTAGGGAAATCGCTCCAGTTTTCCTTCATTGATGGATCTAAAAAGCCATTATACGCAAACTCAAGCTATGTGCCCATCTATAAGATTAACATTTTAATCCGTTCACTTGTATCTCAAAATTTATCACATTTTTTGTTGAGCATTCATGTCTAAACTGACAGTACTGAATTCGGATTTTCTCCTCATAGAATGCATCCCACACCAACCTCACAATATGCAACATATTGAGAATTATTAAGGTTAGGTACGCTTGAATTTGGTTGGGTTTAGTTTGGACTGATTTGAGTTATTCAAGCCCACAACCACAGCCAATATCACGGAGGTGAAGCCATAATTTCAGGCCGAGCCCACCTTGAAGTCTGAAATTTCAAGTCCAATCAAAATTTCAGGTTGTTCTGGGCCTTCTGGCCAAGTTACGACCTCAAAAAAAAGGCAAAATTTCGTCTGCATGGGCTCGGGTTAGGATTTAGGCCCAGTAAAGATTTTAAAATTTCCAATGCAACTCGGTCCAAGTTGCACCCATGCATGCGAACCCACTATACTGGATTTAGGTCCGTACTAGACCTGGTCGAAGTGGATCCAGAACTGACCCAATTAATCATCATTTGATCGTTTTTTATCAATATATAATCGTCAGATCATTGAAACAGACCCCTAATTGACTTACAAACAGCATGCCGTATTTGTCCTTAGATTATACTTAATAATAGCCCCCGGTTTCTCTATTTTAATCTCAAACGGCTGCAGAAAACCACAGTTAAGTGGACCCATTTTTGGAATCTAAAAAAGTAAAAAGTGCACCGACATGATATTTTTTCGGATAAATTGCTGAAACCTCCCCATAAGTTGGATAATTGCAATCATCTTTTCCGAACTTTCTGATATAATTGCAAATACACTCCCTTTATTACAATCATATAAAATAGAGACATGAAAGTATCTAAAATATTCATGCAATTACTATTTTCTAAATTTTCTTTTTCATATGAATTTTTAGCACAAATCCTTTTAATTTCATTTCTGAAATTGATTTATATTTTTAATTTATCTTTCACGTCAATACGCTTAAAGATAAAAATGCAACTTTAAATTCTCTTTTTTATTATTTATAAAATTCATATTGACTTAATACTTAACAAAAAAATATATTAATTGCATGAATATTTTGGATATTTTCATGCCTATTGTTAATAGATGTATTCATGGGTCGGGTTTGTACTAGTTATTAATGTAATATATTAAGGCCCGAGCCCAAGCCCAGCCTGACCAACGGGCATATATCTTAAACTCGAGCCCAACCCTCGTAAAAGCCCGAGACCCAAGGCCCGACATTATAGTTGCAGATCTGAGTTCACAGTAGGGTTGGCGAATTGGGGAGAGAGAGAGAGTAGATGTCGTCGATCTGAGTTCACCGCAAGGATGACGATTTTCTGAATCGCTAACACTTCAAATCTGAGTTCACCATTGCACTGTAGATGCTATCAACCTGTTGGGACTTGGGAGTGTTTGGAGTAGAGCATAACTCGAAGAAATGGGGACTGGATTCGAGCATAGCTCGAAGAAATGCGGACACTGTCACGCTGCTGAGAGATAGTCAAGGACAGAGCTCAAAGAGATGTCATCACCTCGCCAGTCACCAGATCACTGCTTGAGTGTAGATTGTAGAAGCACTACCGTCGACCGTCGTTGTGAAGGGATTAGGTCTTCAAACTTCAAACAAAACAAGGGTCAGTTTGAATGAACATTTGGGTTAGGGTTAGGGTTAGGGTTAGAAATATTGTATTTTTAATAATATATTATTAATATTTTTATATATTGTTGGGCCGGGCGTTTTTTGTGAAATCCTGAGCCTGATCCGAAATTAGGTTAGGTTTAGATAATAAGGCCCAAGCCCGAGCCTACAGGCATAATAATATGTCCAAGCCCGACCACAGTTAGGCTGGATTATCGGGCTACCCGGCCCATGAATAGGTCTAATTATTAATAAATTCTAACAAAATGAACCAATTTGAAATTATGTCCCAAAGTTCAAAAAAGATGATTGCCATTACCAAATTTCAAGGGAGGTTTTAACAATTTACCTTTTTTTGACGGGGTGGCAGGGCGGGGGGCATTTGTTATACAAACATGAATACTAATATCTCCTTCCCCATTAGCAAACGCAAACCCCTAATTGTAAAGGGAAAAAGGGAATCGAAAAAAAAGCTAATTCATGTACTAGGCCTTAGGATGATGCTTTTCTGATTTGGATTCCAACTAGCAAATATTCGTTGTGCGCATGTTGTTGGTTTATACCCAATTCCAAATCAAAAGGCAGATCATTTCGTTTTTATCTTTTAGTTTTCTTCTGAAAATAAGGCTGAGTTTGAAGGACTATAAATGCAAAACCTTATATTTTATTTTGTATGTATTTACATTTGTACTGCCTCCAAACTGAGCCTGAGGTCCATTTGTGAGTGGAGTAATAGTAAGATAATAGAATATGATTCATTTCTCTATATATGTAATATGTATCACAATCATTTAAATTAATCCCATGGTAATTATTAAAATAGGATTAAGAATTAACTTATAGGATAATATTATTATTCAGGTTGGGTTTTGTTAGAATTGAGTGAGGCTCAATGTTGAACTTATGTAATGCGTATGAGAGCACATTTGTAGTGGGGTGGCATCACAAATTGATCAAGGTGGAAGAAAAGTACAGCAGATCCATTACTACTTGTGGCATTTTTTAATTATTCCGGTGTTTGTCCTTTGTCCTGCCTCCCACTAGCCTATAGGATGTAAGAGTATCAAAAAGTTTTTAGGGAGAATGATTGTTCAGCCCATCTCAGAATTTTTAGTCTCACCTTATAGGTGGGATGAATCCTCACCATAGATTGATGCCAAATTCATGGATTGGATGCGGTTTGTAAGGGGGTTACTGGTAGATTATGGGGAGCTAGAATTTTAGAATTCTACAGTGGGCTGCGTTGTATTTCTCCAAATTTTTTAATATAATTCATTAACTTCTTAAGTTCCATTTGGGAATAAAGCAAATATAGTTATGTCGTTTCAGTGCATATATGTTTTCTAGATCAGTTTTGTTGGTGTTTGATAAGAATGCATGTAGTACACACACCCCCCCCCCCAAAAAAAAAAAGATAAGAATGCATTTATATATTGAAATTGACAGATTTTATAAATTTCAAGCAAATTTTGCATTCAAATTGGTCAATGTAAAAAAAAGGTAAAGTTCAACCTAAAAATTTATGTTTGCAACCATTGCAACTAAAATGGTAGTTTGACAACTTTACCAAAAAAAATAGTTTGAATATAAAATTAAAC